ACTTGTGTAAAGCAGCAACCAAGCACAAAGGTCGTAACTAGAAGAGAATTGTTTGCTCTACTTCTTTATTTACTGTTCTATGTTTTAATAAAAATAACTTTAAAAACTTATTTCAAAATAGCAATAATCTATATACATATATAATGAATAATTGAAATGTGATTGTATTTTACAAAATACTAGTCGACTAAAACACAGCCAAGACAAGTTACTTTGTACAGACCAAAGGTCATCTTTATGTTATTTGATACGGTAACATGAGTGCACATGAGCCACATCATTGTAACTTCTGTATTGTTAGCCAGGCACAGGTGAAAGGTCAATATAATAAAAATAACAAACACACACATACATATATATATAAAAGAGATTTAAGCTATTTCGTCTACACATTTCCATTTTTGTGTTATAATTTGTGTTCATTCTAGAATGACAAACACATAATTAATGTTTATTTCCTAATTTTTTATGGTGGTTGCAAGAGCTTAATTACTGAAAATAGCAGATAATATAAAGTTTTTTCTTAAGAAATGTTTGATAACTATCCGGACATTATAAAGATTTTGCATGTGAAATTTCAAAATTTTCTGATGCATAAAAGTATTTTTTTTATCTTAAAATGAAAATTACTTTGCATGATAGATAAGCAAGATGTGAAAAGAAAAAAAAAGGCATGAGAAAAACATTGCTTTACAAAACTTGAGACTTTATTAAAAAAAAAAAAAAAAAAGATTTCTTGCGTATAAAAGCATTGTAATATTTACTGATAAACTGCCAATTTTCATTAACATTTGCTTACTAATTTAAAAGTTATAGCATGAAAACTATAACAAGCACAAAATGGTTATGCAGTCAGTCCCAGGGACCGAGCCCGGGTTGAAAGAGTTAAATATTGCACCAAAGAACACAGAAAAATCACAAGCAAAAAGCAAGCAATGTCCCATATCTATCATAATTGTTCTGGCTTTCTAACTAAGTGATAAGAGCTGTTATAAATTCAGCGAAGCTTGATGATGTGTTTCTCATGGGAAGAAGGTTTGAAGTGAAAGCAAAAATTGAGCATTCTCTGTACAGAAAAAAAACATAATATGTCATTTGATAGATTAAAACCTTGGCTTTCTATTGGTTGTAAATAATATAGTATTAAATCTCGGAATGAACGATTGGCAATTTCCAAAAGAGAGGATGTAACAGGTGGGCATGGCAAGAGGGGTCTAATTTTCTATTTCATGGCGCTGTAACCAAATAAGATTGATGGCTATGAAAATTATGCCTTACCTGAGTGATGACAACATTATAATAAGAAAAGTACATTAAATTTTGTACTTTTTGGAAGGGTGGTAAATAAATTAGAGAAGAGTGAATGTCTAGAGAAAATGTCAAAATTCTCATACTAAGAAGAATTTATAATATTTTTTAATATTGTGTTATAAAATTAAAAATGTAAAACCTATATACTATTAAAACTTGGTTTATCAGCTGCATTTTTATGCCAGATTTATTTATATACCATAACAATAAAGTAGTTTAAATTTTGAATGTAACTCACTAAAACCTCGTGGCATGTGCAGAAGGGTTAACACAACCCACCTCTAGCTATATAACAGTTCTATAAATAGTATCACATTAAATCATTAGTTTTTGATGGTTACTTTTTGACATATTATTGAGTGTTTCTATTTTCATTATTATCATGTTATACATAAAATTTAATATTTGTTATAACTTCCTGTAGCCTGTTCTGTGTGTTAGTTAGGTGTCAAAGATTAGTCAGTGTTAGTGTTAGATACATCTCATAGTATGTTTATTATACTGTTTACTTTGTATTATGTTTATTATATTGTTTTCTTTGTATTATGTTTAACATTGTTTTATTTTTGGGAACAGTTCAGGCATTCCTTTAATTTATTATTATTATTTTGTAAATTCATAAACACTGGTTTTTTGGTTGTATTATAGGTAAATTACAGCTACTAACTTAACACAGTTTAAACAATAATGTGTCATTGTAAATTTTGTCACAATGCCATTATGTTCTAACTTTATACTGCAGATTGGCTTAATGAGTCTTTATTGGTCAAAAGACCTGTCTGGGAGATTTGGAGAGAAAATGGGTATTTTATGCTGATGTTACACTTTTCAAAGAAAATGAATTCTAAGACAGTAGTTCAACCCAACAATTACTGTTTCTGTATTCCTTATTTAAGGTATTACATACTACATTATTTATTTATTGTTACGTTCATTATCAGTATTGGTTAGACTGTTTAATATATCAAATGTCATTTTTTAATATTATTATACTTTTATTATAGAGATTGTTTTGCATTATTAGCTCTATACTTTTATTTAGGAGTAATCTAAGTCTGGCTAAACTTCAGGGGGTATTACTAAGATTATGGCCAAAATTATCGTTAACTGCAGGGGTACCCAAATAAGGAAATAAGTAATTCTAATTATTGTAAGTAGAAGCATAAGAAAAGTTAATTAGCTATACTGATTGCCAGGTTGATGTTTAGTTTTGCTTTAAGTATGTAGCTTGCTCAGAATGAAAGTGAATATTAATTAAGATGAATTACTTTCAAGTTAAAAACAGAAATAAAATTAATATGGACTACTTGTAAATTTATAACAGTGAAATGTGGATTACTTGAAAGTTCAACTAAATAAAAGCATTAATCTGACATTCAAGTTTACATTTTTAGTAAAACAGACACTTTCACCTTTGAAGTTACAAACCTTCCATTTCCAAATGAATAATGACATTTTATACACAGTTTACTATAATATACAAGGAATACCAAAATTAGTAAACAACAGATCAGGATGAAACAGGGTGTAAATTTTAAGTGTGAAATACTCAAAATTAAAATAAGAAAAATAAAAAACTAAAAATAAAGAATATCTATTGACAGATGTTTAACAAACAACGGACCTTGTAACCTTGGTTGATTCCATTGATTAGCTGTGGATCTGGAGGTAGCCACTGGATGTGTACAGCTGTTGAGTTTACAGCTTCTACTTTCAAATCAGTTGGAGAAGACTGAGGAACTATGAGTAAAATACCACTTAGTTTTATAATATATATATATAGCTGCATTCTTCCTTAACAAATAGAATAAAACCACTGTTTTTCAAAACCTTTCATTCCTCTAGCAAATATAATGAAGTTTCTTTTAAATACAATGTATGTATCAGTTGAAATACGTACTTGCATCATTCAGCCTTTTCCATTCTTTCCTCGTTTGTTTAGAATTTTTGCACATAGCTACATTAGGGCTATCTGTACACAGCTATCCCTAATTTTGAACTGACACACTACTAAAGGGAAGGCACTGCAACTAGTTTACAGCAGCACTGCCAATTTTTTTTCTGACTTAATAGTTGGACTTGACTGTCACTCCCATAGCACAAACAACAAACCTTCTGATTCACTGTTTGGGCACATTAACAATTAGTTCATGCCTGGCACATTTTGCTTTGAATTTTTTTTTTCCAGTGTCTTTCTGAATTATCAAAAAGTATATAATATTTAATTCTCTCAAACCTTAAGAAAAATTAACTAGAAAAATACAAGAATAAATAATTATCATTATCAATAATATATGCAATGGTGTTCTGTAGAAGCATGTAGGCTCAAACAGATAGAGGAAAAACAACCATTTGATATTTATTTCAACTGTTAGCTTTACAAAATTACCATATTTTAACATAAGAAAGAAAATATGAATCGTAAGTAATCTCTGGCTAATACTATAGAAGAGGGTCAACTATATCACATTTTGTTAGGAATGAAGTGTCTAAAAATTCAATAAAATTTTAAAAAATGGAATTTTATACTTTTATTGTCCTTAAGTTTATATTTTCTTCAAAACTTAAACATTACGCGGGACTGGTTATGATAAAAAATGCTGATTTTGAAAAGTGTTTTTTTTTTGTGCAAAGCTACACAAGGGCTATCTGAATTAGCCATCTCTAATTTAGCAGTGAAACACTAGAGAGAAGGCAGCTAGTTATCACCACCAACCGCCAACTCTTGGGCTACTCTTTTACCAACGAATAGTGGGATTGACCATTACATTATAACACGCCTATGGCGAACATGTTTGGTGGGATGGGGATTCGAACCCGAGACCCTCAGATTGCGAGTGAAGCACCTTAAACACCTGGCCAGGCCATTTTGAAAAGTGAACAACAGGTTTACTCACCTCCTTCATGAGTCCTGATATAAATACTGTCACTGTAAACACCAACACCCATGTTGTTGTAGGAAGCCACTTGAATCTCATACCTCTGCCATACGATTAGATCTTGAAGAAGAAAGGTGTTTTGGGCAACATTGGAGATATTAAGGTATGCCCATGAAGTTGCTAAATAGCCTGCCAGCTTATATCTTATTATATACCCTAACAGTTTCCCATTTCGATCTTCTTCGGGTGGGGGCTGCCAAGGAGATATCCAGCAAAGAAACACAATCATTTTACAGAATATAGCTTAATGTTTTTTTTTTAGTTCTAAAAAAAAAGTTTTAAAAAGTTTATATGCTTCTTTAGAAAATATTAGAAAAAACTTCAAAACTATATATATTTTTACTTCATGTAACACTTGATTATGAAAGATACTTTACTTTACTAATAAATTGTTCATATATAAAAAATTCTGACATGTAGTTCTATGAATGTGATTTCATGCAACATATATAAAAAAAATTATGTATTCACCTCTTCAATTTATTTATTTCTCTTTTTGTTATATAAAATTCTTAGTATATAATAACTCACTGTTCCTTAGTTCATTTTCAAACATTTCCATATTTTACATCAAAGTTATAAAACTTCATAAGAGATTTAACTTGGATAGCTATAATAAGAAACAAGGATTCCAGATACAATTCCACAAGCATACAAAAATTAACTAATTTTAGTTATCTAAAGTTACAAAATAAAAAATGATTTCTAGCATTTTAAATATCAATACTTGGAACATCAAATATTGCACATTGTCACGTTTGAAATTAGTTTTTAAGCCAATGCAAAACCAAATGCAAAAGATGTTCAAAGAACCTATTAAAAGAAGCCAATGCTATAACAAAATTATATAAAAGGACAGTAATGTATTTGTAGAGGATGTTTTATCATTGTATAGTCTTTCAGCTGACTTCTTAAAAGTTGAGAAGTTTTAAACACACGACTCACCTGCCACTGCAACATGATGGAATTAGCAGATCTAGCTCCACCAAGAACACTAACAGGAGGACTACTAGGAGCTGTTGAAGTAGATGGAGTCTCATCAATAACTTGGATGACTTTTAATAGCATGAAATCATAGATAACATAACAAAAAACACACTGATCCTACAATCAAAGTGGTACTAAAAAGAACAAATGATTATTTTTTCATCTTCTTAATGATACTTCTGGACACTTCAGCAACATAATTAATTCAAAAACTATGGAGAAATTAATATATGTATTAGTTGGCAGATTGATAACACATCTTGAGAAATCACCAAGGAAATAAATACCCAGTGCTTGTACTGAGTAAAATATTACAAAATGTAGTCAGTCACAAGTCATACACAAACATGCATACTGTTTTTAATTCTAGTTAAAGACAAGAAGATGAATACTGCAAACCTTATGCTGCCGAATTTGATCATGTTATTATGACCACTTAATATAAACCTCAATTTTAGCAGAAGCACACTATCGACAAACAAAAAATGAGTGTGTTCGCTACCTGAATTTAAATCACAGAAATAAAGCCATATACCTGATATTTTACTAGCTATTATATTCAACAAGTTATTTTATTTACACTGGAAAATCATGTTTACCAAATAGTTTTGTAGTGGGAAGAAGACTACATAAAAAATAAGTTTTTTTGGAAACCATGTGAGAGTTGAAAAATGTGCCACTTTGGTGAAGACAAAGACAACTAATTAAAGTAAACAACTTAGACAGACTGACCTCAAGAAACTTCTAAATGGCTCAATTATAAAAAAAAAATTAAAGAATGCATTATGACAGAAATTTTATAGAATACTTTAACTTAATGATTTTTCAAGTGATTTTGTTGAAGCTGAAAGGCTTTTAAAGGCAGAATTCAAATTTAAGAACTTTTCGAGACAATCATGACATTTAAGGACTTTCAAGCTCTGTGTAAAACTTGCCTTTTAATTTGTGGTTTAATAAAGGTCTCTTTTTTTCTGCTAAAGATGCATGTCAGTATCTCAGTGCTCTAATTACCCTTCAAAATAATTCACTTCAAGAACAATTTAATCCTACTTAACTTACTTACATAACTGTGGTCTTTGTAACAATCTGCACTCCAGGTTTAATCTATTATTCAAAGTACTAGATATAAAAAGTTTCAGTAGTCAGGTTTGTTATCAAACAGACTAAATTATAATAGAGCTAAAGCTATTCATTCCAATCTTGTGCCCTTTGTTACCAATATCAGTAATTAAACAAGTCACTTAATGGAATTAAGATTAACTCCTCACAAAAGGAAGTTAGTGTGTGTGTGTGTGTGTATATAATGATCTATTTAGCTTTCATAACAAGAAAAAGGCAATATCACATTTTCATAGAAAATCCAAGAAAGTTGGTCTCACAGTTTCAATGAAAATAAGTAAAATTAAAACAATACATTTGACATGTGTAGTACATAAAAATAAGAGGTTTTATATACCTTAAAACACTATTTAAAACTTAAAAAGAAACAGTATTAATAATGCAAGGAACAACTTGAAGTATGCTACAAATCACAATTAGAGAAATTCTATAGTCTGGGCACCTTGTTATTTGTTACCTTAAAATACTCCTGCATTTCCACACTCTATGGTAAAGTAAGCCACTGATACCAAGCATACTAGTTAAAACTAGTATAGAAATATTGTAGATGTTAATTTCATTACACATGGAATCTAAAAAATACTTAAAAATTGTTAGTGCTAAAAGTAGGAAGTTTTTTTTTGTCAAATAGAGATAACAATCAACTGTACAACTGACAAGATCCTAGATACAGCCAAATTGGTACACATGGAATACATACGTTCTGGAGGGAGATCAATAGGACTTGTAGCTGGGCTAGGGCTACCCTCTCCTACACCATTAACTGCACTGACTCGAAACTGATAGCTTGATGCTGGTTTCAGATTGGTTAGCGTGACATGTCGTTTCTCACCAGTGATATTCACCTTGGCAGTAACCCATGGGACTAACAGATCCAGTTCTGCTGCTGTAAACCAATAAAATAGATCAAAGTTATTGATGTTTTAAGAATCATGTAAAAAATGTGTACTTTCTCATATTATAGTGCGTTATCATTTCCTTGTACTAATATTTATATATTAGACTTATGTTGAGATTTCAACTGTACATCACAATGAAAACAGAATCAATTTCTATAACTGACATACATTAGTTTTTTTTCAATGGGTAGGTAAATGTAACTGACACTTCATATTTGTAACCTCCACATTAGCACTAGCCATAGAATACAAACTGATCAACTAAACTGAAAGCGTGTAAATATACTAGGAAGCTAATTTCCATTTTAAAAATTTCATAAAAGCTAAATGTTTTTAAATACATCAACTTTTCCAGAAAGACAAATACATTTCATTACTATGAATCATTATGGTGCAGTAATACAGCACTGGAACTAATTTCATTTTAATGATTTATGAAACAATTGCTATTAGTGTTCATACACTTCTTACAATACCGGAGTAAATTATGACTTATTATATTTTGAGTTTTATACATGTGAGACCTTAGTCTTGATTTTCCTATCTACATAGAGTGATTTACCTTCTTCAGGAACAATTCTCATCTGCACAAGGTATTTGGTTATAGGACTATTGCCATCAAATGCTTTAGTCCAAGTAACATTCACACTTTTTGGAACTGTGTTCAACAACTCTGCCTTGACATTATTTGGTGGATAAGGAAGCTCTATAAACAAAAAATAACATCATTAAAACAAGAAACTAATGAAAAAAATAAATTAAAATATTTTATATTTCTAACTTTAGCAACTACAACATTTTTTTATCTAGTTTTGAAAACAATCCATGGAACAAAGTTTACAGCAAGAAAATGAGGAATTATAAACACCAATTTAAATTTTTTAATATCATTATTATTATTATTATGAGTATCAGCTCAAGAAGTCAACACTGATTATTAGAAGAGCATTACAAATTTATTTCTAAATCCATGACTACAATAAGTAACTTGCAAAAATATACTGTGTAACTGGTTATATTGATTTATTTCAAATATATTTAAACTCCACTAAAGCTTTGAAAGTATCAGTCAAGAAGATTCCTTTTAATATCATAATGAGGTTTTGTATAATAATTAAATAAAAACCTTTAAATCTTGTTCAAAAGTTATTTTTCATTGCATTACAAGTAAAAGTTTAAGTTAATCTATCAATTTAAATTACTTCAAGGGCTTTAAAAAGGTTAACTGTTTTGCACTGTTGGTTTCATTCAGAGCCAAAGCTCTGAGCTACTTATACCCCCACTGTGAAAAGTAATTGTTGAGTATTTCAGTCATGCTAAGAACTGCTCAATAACATACAGTAAATCTACATTTTTATATTTTAAGTTATGTCTAATTATGAAATATCAATGATAGTGTAATTAATTCCTAACAATTTAGTGTAGTCTATCCTGCATGTGAAATACAATTTGGCATCACCATTATTCATGCTAGTCCTCCTGTCATTTCAAAAGCTTTTCCCGCCTTCCCAGCTTTTCAAAGCAGCACAGGAAGTGCCCACCATAAACAGGAGACAGACACCACAGTTTGCAATATACAAGATAAAATTTTTTATGATCCATTGGCTTAATAAGCACAATTAATTTGTTTAAGTGATTTACAAAAACCAAACACTGTCTACAAAGTAATTAAATGAAATTTAATGAAATTAAAGAACTGATGAAGTGTAAATTTAGATTTAAAATATTAGTGGGTATACTTTCAAGCTAAAAAAAATGTGCTGCTCTAAACTTGTTTAAATATTAAAAGCATTTACCAATAACATCCAGCCGAGCACTTCTTGATTCGTTACCTCCACTGGACTTTACAGTGCAGGTGTATGTTCCAACATCAGTGTTGCGAGCCTGTTTTATCTGTAAGGTTCCATCTTCCAGGACTTGAACTCTCCCATCAGAACGTGATTTTAGAGGGGTGTTTCCAAAATACCATGTAATAATATATGGAACAATGGGGTCATGGGATACTTTACACTGGAGCTCAGCAGTTGAACTAAGAATAACCTTAGTGTCAACTGGTGGTTGAGTGATCTTAGTGCGCACTGAAAAACCAAAAGCAGCATGAAAAGATCTTTACAATGACACCTCTGTTATGAATTGCCCATTTTAGACAACCTTTCTACCCCTGCAAAATATGCACTTATATTTTATATATAAATTGCTAAGGCATAATCTAAATTTATAGCCTCCAGTCTTCTTGCCAAACCAGAAAGTCAAACTCACATGCCATGCCCTCCTATCACATCCTGCTTTATCACAATAATTCTCTTTAACATCTGTTATGGATTATTTATAACCAATAGAAAGAGTAGGTTTTAATTTACTGAATTCTTATACAGCTAGCTGATTCTGACAACAGGTTTTGAATTATTCACTTCATGGTTTCATTCTTCACTATTACTGAGACACCTGGACCAGCTAAGAGATTTATTTAAAACTACTTTTAGTTTAATTAAATGCCTGTTTAATGATTATAGCTATGGAACATTGTATTCTTTGTGTGCATTTCTGTTCTAAATTGTATATTTGAAATAAATAAGAATTAATTACTAACAACAACTATAACAAAAACAAGAGTTAACTTTTATCAAGACTTTGAGAGCAAAACAGTACAAGACCCATATGTAAGTACTAAATTCCTTGTTTTTTTTATGTATCTTTTTCATTTATTCGTGGAGACCCTTTGTGCCACTAGACATGTAGAGCCTATAAGTATGATTGTGTTGACATTTCTAATAGTTATGATTTTGTCTTTTATAGTTTGTTTCAAAATACTTGCATTAAGCTATGTAAATGGCTATATAAATGTAGCTATCAGCAGACCTGATAGACTATAAGGAAAGCATTTAGTCAACAGAACTGCCATCTCTTGGTATACTGTTATTTAACTGAATAATGGGATACAAACATCCATGTAAGCACAGTCCCAAGAGCAGACTGCTTTTCTTTGGTGATGGGGGCATGGATTAACTGTTCAGGCATGCAAACACGAAGTATGCCCAACCCTCTCTTTTAACAATGAATGTTGCTTTTTTGTAGTAATAACATGATATTAAGCTTTGGTTAGTTGAACTTTTTCTAATTAATGGTTTTGCACTTCAACCCTTAGTTCATCAAATGAATTAACTGTCTTTCCTACTTTAATGATAATCTTACCCCATCTTTTTCAAAGCTAATTTTTGAGAAGGAACCAGATTACCACCAATATCATGCAAATGTCATTACACAAAACATAGAAAAGTGATATATACACTACTTGTTTTCTTTATTGTAATCTTAAAATCAAAATTTACAAAAATTGTTTTTTTTTTACATCACAAGATCATCAAGTTAATATCAACAGTAAGAAATTTTATGATTATCATAAAAACTAATACTTAACTATGACATACACAACATAACACAACATAAATATTATGGCTTAAACGTGTGTGTATATCAACCAAACTAGATTTATTACATATCAAATAAGTTTGTCAGTAGCAAATATACACTTATATAAAAAAAAACATTTCATTCCAAATGACAAACTTACCTAAGACAAACAGATATGCAGAAGCAGATATTTGACCTCTACTGTTTGCCCGAGTACAGGTGTAGTTGCCAAAGTCTTCAGGCTCCACCGATGCTATTAGCAGGCTTCCAGACTCAAGAATTTGAACACGACCTACACTGTGAACAGTATCTGTGCCTACAAAATTAACAAAAGACGACAAGGATCCCATTTGCTCCTAGTTCACATAAAATGTCTGCAGGTGTCCATAAGTTGATCATAAAAAAGAATCATGTCTAGGAAGTATTATTACACTGTACTTTTATGTTTCAGACAAAAAAAATATTGGCTTTCAGTGAAATTGTACAAAATTAACATGATAAATTTTACATTTAGTACATTGAGAAAAACTAGAGGAAATGCATTTTTTTTATTTTTATGTATAGGAACACAGTATAATCTACTCAGTTTTCTCTTTAAAGTTTGTCAGAGTTTATTAAAGTTACATACAACCTTTCAAACAATATACAATGTAATTCAAAAGATATTTTCAAAAGAGAGAAGAGGTGCATCTTATTTGTGTATTTCAATGATAATGTCCATTCATCAGACTTTATAATTAGAATACTTATTACCTAACCTACTATTGTCTGATCCAGTTTATAGTTTGTAATATCTAACCTAATCTAATATGTCTTGGTCATACTATACGAGTTATACTGCTCCTGATCATATTTTACCAACTATAATTCCTGAAATATTCTAGTGTTTCCTAGTAACATTTTAACACTTAACCTAGCATCATCTAGTCATATTTTAAAAGATTCATAAACAATGTATTTAGTGTCTCCCCAGTCATATTTAACCCATCTGTATTACACAGAGTAATCCTCTAATCATGCTTAACTAGCTGCAATACCTTGTCTAGTATTCCTGGTTATTTTAACAGTTTTATATTCAACCTAGTATCCTCTGATTATTCTAACTATTAAATGATACATAATCTTATTATATTTCACTAGATACAATACCATACCTAACCTACTTTACTTTGATCATAATTCATATGTATGTAGAATAAATATCATGCTAAATTACTGTTGTGCATTTATGTTCATAAATATACCACAAACCCAGTTGTAGATAATATACGACTAAGTATATTAGACTTCAAACATTTGTAATTCTGAAACTGCAATGAAAGTTGTGAAGTAAATGTTATGTTTTATTTTCACAAACCGTAGAAGCACAAGTAACACACTTCAGTTTAAAAGTACAATGTCTGAGAAGTACAGGGTGGCTCAATAGTAGGTATGCAGTTGATAATAAAGGCCTGCGAATTTAAAAAAGCTGTTGTGATTTTAATCATGGATTTTCCATAATTCAGCTACACAGATTTCGAAAATAATATTCAGTTGGGAAGAAAAAAAAACTTGCTTAAACAAATTATTATTTCATTTACCACAGTTAACATTTTTTATTATTATGTTTGTTAACAAAAATACAAACAAACTGAAGAAAAGGAAAGAACATTGATGTTAAACAAATATGCATCCTCATTCATCCTGATTTTTTTGTGAAATCTAAGTATTTTAGTCTCAAAACTTTCTTTGATGTATTGCATTATGACTTTTATCAAAAATCTGTATTCGATGGAGAAAAATAGATACCATTTTCAGATTCAGTGTACAAGAATTACTGTAGAACATGTAAAAATTTCAAGACAATAAAACCATTGCAGGCCTGTGTAACTGATAATGTATTTAAAGTAATTAAATTAAAATTAGAGTATACAGTTGATAACCGATAATTGAATTTACTTTACACATGACATAGGTTTATGGGAAAGTTAATCCCAAGTTAATCATGCAGGTGTTCAAACTGAAACCCATTGCTATTCACACAATCTTCGAGTCTGCCTGCCACACTTTTGCAAACTTCCTGACTCAAGTATATCTGTTTATCCAGTTCTATAAATGCATCTGTGATGTACCTTTTCATTTCATCAACATTCCGCAATATCCTACTGTACACAATTCAACAGATTTATCATATGCAACTGTATACCTACTTATGGGCCACTAAATTCTGTGCTTGTACCAACACAACTATATACATTCTTATAGTGTAAAATAAACTATGATGCTGATTACAAAATAATGCTATTAACAGCTTACATAGGTTACAAAGTATAGAAAACATATTTTAAAGGTATCTAATGAGAATTTATAAATTTTAACACTAGTTCCACACACACTCTAACACATGTATACACACCTATACAGTATCTGTCTGAAAATAAAGTTTTTGATCACATCAAGGGAATTCAGAATTTTGTATATTATCATTTGATGTTAACACTCATACCTAAAATTTAAATTTTTGGTGAATTAGAAAATACATTTATGGCCCTATATAACTGACTACATTTACGAGCAGTTTGCAAGATCTACTTACCAATAAATAACTTGCTTACAAATAAACTAAACAGAATTTGCAAAATGAGAATGTTAGAAAGATGACAGACTCTTTGCTTAGTTTAACATATTATTTGTTTTGTTTATGTAAAAATTTCTTATAAGTGTTATCAGCCAGGTATTAAATTTAACCTGATAAAAGATATTGCTTATATCTAAAGTAAGGTAAACTAGAAACATAGGGAGATAAACATACATATGTATAAACAGGTCTTCCTTATATCTCACATGTTTATAAGTGAAGTCATCTGTATTCAGATATTAATAACAGGCAGGAATCTAAATACATACTGAAATCTGAAGCGATATGAACATTAACAAAAGAAATTCAAAACTGCTGCTTGTTAAGTAATTCATTTCAGTAATTCAAATATTAGATGCAGACTTATCCAAAGTAATTATTATTATTTTCTATATTTTGGGAAAGAGGAGATATCTGTGGAGAAAGTAACAGTTAAACTATTACCATGCCCTCATCGTACATATACATGTGTAAATTAACATTTAGAATTGCTATAATAAAAAAAAAACTCATATTATCAATAATATTTGGAAAACTTAGTGCCAAATCATTATTAAAAATTAAGCCATTTAGTTGTGCTTAGTTTTAGTTTATTTTGAAATCCAAAACTACAGAGTTTAAACTTTCCAATTATCTAAGCCTGGCAAAGGTTAATAAAATCAAACTACTTTTAACCACATTAGTTTATTAAATAGGTGTGTCTTTACTTATTACATATTTCACAGACAATGGTGTTCAGGATAAATAAATATCCCATATTCTTCAGTATAACCTTAATATTGTCTACAGTGAATAAAACTCAACTATACAAATTCTTTAAAAGAAGAAATTTACCATTGAAAATCCAAGTAGTGTTAGGAGCTGGAGCGCCATCTGCAGTACATGAAATTTGAGCATCCATTCCATCAAGTACAGTTGTATTCTCTGGTGACTTCATGAACATTGGTGGAGAAGCTGAGATGAAGAAAAAAAACAAAAAACGTTAGTTACATAAGGACTGCTCTAGAGACAACTCATTTCTAGTTTCAATTAATAATTCTAAGAACTTATGAATGACAGTAACAAAGAATATGTCAACCAAATTAAATTTGCTATATCCAGTGCTGATGAGGCATTTCGTCCAATACCAGGGCTCATCAGGTCAGTAGGGATACAACAAACACAGCAGTGGTTGAGTTAGGAAGTGTTTCATGGACAAAGTAATATCCTGATTTGATATTCTTTAATATAATATGTTCAAAATCATTATATTTCACAATCAAATATTATTGAAGTAATTATATTTACATTTTACATTTCCATTACAACATTAAAATAGTAAATCATACACTTTGTCTCATGATTCAAAACATTGATAATAGAAACATAGAAGTCTGTTAAATTAAAGCCTTAATTAAAATGGATTAATTTCTTTAATCAAAACATTTATGCATAAGCATTAGACTCGTGATCAAAAAATTTATTACATGAAAAACACAAATCTACAAATAAATTAAAATTCTTACATTCTACCAAGTAAAAGTAAAATATCAGCCTAAATGAAGAACTACAAAAGTTTAACGAGTTAAGACCATTATTGAATGAAAATCTTTACATTTTACAGAGTAACAGTATCAAGCCAGAGGATGAACAACAAAATGTCAATGAGTTAAGCCATTAGTGAATGAAAATCCTTACATTTTACAGAGTAACAGTATCAAGCCTAGAGGATGAACAACAAAATGTCAATGAGTTAAGCCCATTAGTGAAAGTCCTTACATTCTTCAGCGTAATGGTATCAAGCCTAGAGAATGAACAACAAAATGTCAATGAGTTAAGACCATTATTGAATGAAAATCTTTACATTTTACAGAGTAACAGTATCAAGCCAGAGGATGAACAACAAAATGTCAATGATTTAAGACCATTAGTGAATGAAAATCCTTACATTTTACAGAGTAACAGTATCAAGCCTAGAGGATGAACAACAAAATGTCAATGAGTTAAGTCATTAGTGAATGAAAATCCTTACATTCTACAGAGTAACGGTATCAAGCCTAGAGAATTGACATTTTGTTGTTCATGATTTAAGACCATTAGTGAAAGTCCTTACATTCTTCAGCGTAATGGTATCAAGCCTAGAGAATGAACAACAAAATGTCAATGAGTTAAGACCATTAGTGAAAGTCCTTACATTCTACAGAGTAATGGTATCAAGCCTAGAGAGTGAACAACAAAATGCTAGTGAGTTAGTGAATAAAAATCCTTACATTATACTAGTCAAAATCTCAGCCTAGAGGATGGAAACACTATGATATAATTAGTGTCAGTTGATGAAAATCATTAATCCAATAAATTAAACCTTAGTCTGAATTATCACACTATGTTGAGTTGAGTCTTAATGTGTGAAAACCACTTTTCTACTGCACCAAATTATCAGACTGTATGAAACACCACGTTCTCATCTATGTAATTGTATCATGCCAAGAAAATAATGAAATAAATGAATCTGTCTAATAAATGGCTTAATTTACAGCTGAAAGAGTTATATCTACCAGTCATACAAGACTTTAAACGAGTCTTCTCCGGAATGCTTCAGATTCTTAGTTCATAAAAACTACCCACAAGGTTAGGTAACTTGTTCTTTTTACCTGTGTTTTGCTGTGAATTTCCACATTAGGAATACATGTGATTTACTTACTACAGAGCTTTCAAACATAAAATTCAAGTACAATTTATGGCAGGTACTTCTATTTATAGAAATTTGGGTATTAGTATGATTAAAGAGATTAATGTGTTATCAAATTTCAGTGTCACACTCTGTTAAGTACATTATTAGAAGCCTCAACAAAAATAAAGTTCTACTCTCTTAATTTTCATACATCATACTATTAATATACCCTTCATAAAATATTCTTGCTGACAGGTGATTATCTATCCATACATAGTAAATTGTGACAGATAAGCAAGCAACCAGAAATGAAAATTCTAATTTTAAGCTGAATACAGCTATATTATTATTGTTTAATTAAGTCCCATACAGTTTGTAAAAGGTTAAAAATACAAACTAGCTTTGGTCTTACAAACACCTAATCAAGATACTTTGCAAGTCATTACTAAAACCTACAATAACATAAGTAATTAATAATTATCCAAGCTATAAATTCAGTACATCAAAAATAAAAAAAGGTTAACACCTTCACTACCATGAAAAATTTTATTTGAAAATATTTAAATCTTTTTTTCTGTTGTATTCATTACCATGAAGTACACTTGGATTGTTTTTCCAGAGTATTTTAACAGAGTGACTTACTTGGATTGGTTTGTTTTGCATATTTGCACAAAGATACACAAGAGCTACCTGTGCTAGCTGTTCCTAATTTTGAACTGATAGACTACAAGGAAGGCAGTGAGTCACAAGCCAGTTATGTGATGACAATGACATTATGCTATTGTGTACCATATTCATTGCATTGAAAATTTTTACTGAACAAAAAACGGGTAAGGTGATTTTGAATTGAAAGGCCAATATTCAACTGGACTCCTTGAACAATGGCCTTTCTAATGATATGAGACTTGTAGCATTTCATTGAGAAATTTGTGAGAAAGATTCCAGACAGACAAATGCAAGCATATTATCTATATAGATGCATGACTTTTTCCATCCTAAGTGGCAGTCAAAGAGTTAATAGTTAAAATAAGAAAAGACTAAACTGTAAGAACTTCATTAGGTAGTTAGTAAAAAGCTTACTTTTTCCATCCTAAGTAGCAGTCAAAGAGTTAATAATTAAAAGAAGAAAAGACTAAACTGTAAGAACTTCATTAGGTAGTTAGTAAAAAGCTTACTTTTTCCATCCTAAGTGGCAGTCAAAGAGTTAATAGTTAAAAGAAGACTATACTGTAAGAACTTCATTAGGTAGTTAGTAAAAAGCTTACGTATTAGAACTGCATAGCGTGGAGAAGTAGGCTTTGATGAAAAAGCTTTAAAGACAGAAATAAGAAAAAATAAATAATTAGAAAAATATATTAAATGGACAAAAAACATATAACAAAATAGATTCTAATGCTCATGAGGTTATATTTAGCATTTGAGACATTTGGATAAGGATGATCATTACACAAATTTTCTCAATAGTAGAGTTACAGGATCATATACTTTCTACTATGCTAACTATGTAATTTAATCATTCACCATAAGATACTGTAACCAATTATTTGTAGTTCCAAAAGGGATTAATGAGTCATTTGTTAACAGGATTTGAAACTTAGTCATACACACCAGTAGAGTCATGGCTAATGGTAGACTTTTAGGACTTCATCCATCAATCAATTTTTCACAATATCTATTTCATTTTGTGTGCAGATTTCTTATAAAGCATCAAGAAAGATGTCAAAAAATTAAATACTGCAATCATATCTGGCAGAAGTCTGTGTATAATTATTTAGTATTATCTAGCTGTTACAGAAAATTACACATAAAACCTGTATATTTGGGAATTTACACTTTTAGTGTAACTGGAACAATAAAAATAATTTTTTTGTGTATTTCAGAACATAAATATATTTTTCAATGTTATGCTATGTATAACACCTTTTCCCATCATTTCTATCAGAGGTACAATTTCATCACATTGATTATTAGATTTGTTCAAAAATAGCTGATTAGTTACAACAGTTTTGATCAATAAAGTTTCTAACCTTAAAATGTACTTCCAAATACATGTAGTCACACGCACAAGGTTTCAGCATTTTGTCACATATTTACCAATGTATGTTGAAATGTTTCATCGCAATCGAAAATTTATAGCAATTTATAATTTCTGAAACTCGCTTTCTTTATTCTATAGATTAATACATTACATTGTTTCATATAAAGACTAAATTTGTTTTTCTAAATGGCAAACAGCTCATATAATATTTCATAAATTTATCTTTTATTTTCATGAGATAAAAAACAAGAACTGTATCTCGACATGTTTCATTTAAATCTTTTTACTGCATTAGGAGAGTTTTAACACAAATAAATTGAAACATTACAGTATTTTAATGATGGGATAGGAACTAATGTTTTGAAATTTAAAAAAAAAATGTATAAAGAACATTTAACCTTAGAACACTAATAAACTAGTGATATTATTGATTACAAGAATTGTAAAACAAACAACAAAATAACCACATGTTAATACAATAACAAAAAATCATTTTATGCAATAGAGTAATATATACATCAAAGTTGTGGTTTTCCTTAAAACATTATAATGAAATATCAACCAAATAATAAATTTGTTTTTCAGTACCATAAAATATTCCAATGGTTTTAGGATATCTCATAAATACTTAAGTTTACCTATTAATTTATCACATTTTAGTATTTGTGCTTACAGAATAAGCCAAGTCCACATTTATTTTTTGAATATAATAAATATTCAAAGAAATTATTTAATAGATGAAATACAACTTTTATAGCAGAGTTGTTTCATAATAAAATATGCAAACAGTGCTTTGTTCATAACTGTTGTTTCTTCATCATAAAAGTCTTAGAACTGATTTTCTTTTCTTGCATAAGAAATCAGTCTTAATTATGGAATCTGCTCTGAACTTTGTATATAAGGTACAAGCTCATACATAATTTTTCTCAGACACCCACACATTACATTCTTTATCTGAACTTTGAAGAACGAGATATCGGTGCAAAATGATCTATGCATTCTCCTAATGTTATGTCTACAAGAAATATGGCTGTATAGTCTTTTTTTTCTGTTTATAATTTGTTAATTTCTTATACTAAATCCAATTACAAGAGAGTTTTGAAACAGCATGTTTCAAGTTTCTTCTTGACCTACATAGATTTTGAAATTTTTCTTTAGCATATCTTATTTCAGTGTTTGGCATGTGATAAAATTTTTTGTATCTGTTTAAATGTGTATAATTTATTAATACAGGAATAAATATAATTTACGTATAACAGTGATATGTTAGAATAATAGATTGTTTAAAGTGTGAAACAAAATACAAAGCCATTGGAGATTGCTAAAAAAGTTAAAAGAAAAATTAATTAAAATGTTTTGTTTTTAAAATTTATTACCTTTAGTAGTTTAATATATTTTTAACATTCAACAAGTAGACAAGAGTACTATACCCTCATTATTAGTGAAAAATAAACATAATTTCAACTGTATACCTTTATTTTGATGTAGATGACATTACCTGAAAAATTAAAATCTTATTTTTATTGAAAAAAAGATGTTTCAGGCAACACAATTCAGTACCATTCAAAATATATGCATTTTATATTTAACTGCAAATTACTAAATACAAAAATTACCTGGAAAGCTGATTAATTTAGTTTGTTGTTAAGCACAAAGTTACACAATGGGCTATCTGTGCTGTGCCAACCATGGGTATCGAAACCCGGTTTTTTGTGTTATAAACCTTCAGACTTATCGCTGAACCATGGAAAAGTGATTATTTTAGTATTCTACATATTTTTATACATTTGTACCAAGTTTCTTAAATATAGATGTAGCAGTTTTAGTCATACATTGCTACACTGGAAAGTTGGGTTTCATTTCTTTGGCTGATTCTGCACGAGCAAAGCCATTGATTCCAAGACTTACATAATTTAAGTACTATGCAAAAAATTTAAATTAATTAAATTATACTGTTGACAGAAAAGGGTATTGTATAAATTTAAATAAATGCTATTATTTTGAATGAAACAAAGCAAAGTTCAATATTTAATATGTTGTGATGTATTAGTTCAAAGAAAACAAAAACTACAACATCTACTTTTCTGATTATAAAGACAAAGTCATACAAGAATGACATGAAATACAAAGTTCAGAAATGAAAATTATTAAAGATAACCTACTTTTTAACATATATAACTTTAATTTACTCTAAATTAAAATGACGAAACATCTTACTTTTAACATGAAGCCAAGTACTTGCCGATACTTGGTTAATACTGTTCTCAACCACGCACTGAAAGATCCCTGAATCAGAAGTCATCAGTTCAGAGATTTTCAAGGATCCATTGGCTAGCAGTTCATATCTGTTGTTTGTGTGATCTTTACTTAGTTTTTCAGAATCCCTAAACCAGGTAATATTTGGTTGTGGATTACCTGTTGCACCACAGGCTAATATGACATCATGCCCAATCTCAGAAACAGTTTCTGGGCTAGGTGGATCAGTAATGGTTGGACCAACTGAAAACATACATAAAAATAAAAATAAAGCAAGGTATCTAGCATACAAAACATTATAAATTCTTCGAGACAAATAAAAATCAAACACTTTTATAGAACAATTAACGTTTAACTTAAACTATCAATGAATTGGAAAACTATACATACAAATATAATCTTAAAGTATATTGTACAATATCTAAAAACAAAGAAATATTATTGTTTAGACCCACTGACATACAATAGATCCACATCTTGCAGAAAATAAATATTTATCAAGATTACCATATACAGTGACTGTTGCTTTGGCAGTCACTGGAGGGTTGTTTCTGTCTTTCAGTTGTGCTACACACTCATATACACCTTCATGCATTGGTCCAACATTTAGCAAGTTGACCGACATATTCCAAGGAGATGACAGATATGAAATCTGTGTCTGGGGTAATTCCACACCATCCTTCATCCAAATAATTTCCAATTCTTCAACAGGTCTATTAATTAACATAAGTATTCAATTAATGAGTTAATATTTGCATCTACTACATTAAATATTGCTGGTCAATTTAAAATACATCTCTGTATTAAACACTACATATCTATGAAAATGTTTTAGTTTTTATATTCAAAAACAGTACTATTATTTAAGAAATAAAAATGTTATTAATATTTTATCTTGCATCTATTTATACAGTAAACTATGCAAGTACTCTCAATTTTTTTGTTTTCTCAATTTCTAAATTTCATATTATTTCATTTTTTTACAAATAGTAATTCAAACGAATAATATGGTTAATAGTTTTATTCATTAAAAACGTATCTGTGAATATTGTGGAAGTGACACACAAAATAACATTCTTTCACATGTGATACAAAGAGCTTCAGTCAAACAAATCCTATAGTGAGTTTTTGTTTTATACCAAAGGACCAACAGTACAGAAAAAGGTTTAAAAAAGTAAGATTCAATATTGATGCACAAAAACCAAGAAACTGAGACAAAAAGATCTCATTTTAGAAAAATTACTGGTTTTCTTTACTTTAATTGTATGCATGGTTGCTTCAGTGTATTGGATACGGTCAGTAACTTTACACTGTAAAAATAAGTCAAGCTTTCAACAAGAAGTTCAGTCAAAAATGAAATTACTACCTTGCATTTACAACACATTCAAGGACAGCAGGATATACTCCTTGCTCAAAGACTGAATCTTTAGGTGGTATTACAATTTCTGGCGGTATCTCTTCAAATCTATTATTATCTATACAGAAAACAAAAACATACCGAACTTTGATTAAAAAAAAGTATTTTCCATTAAAATACTGCGTAGTAAAAAATACATAAAAACAATTATTAAATAAAACAAATCACACTAATCATTTTTTAGATTAATTAAAACACATCACAGCTTCAATTTCAATTAATTAAAAAAAACCTGAATTCTATTTCATTAATATTTTACTTAGTACAATTTATTTGGAATAGAATAAAATACAAAATAATGCAACTAATATTTAAGATCAACATAATTCAGAATGATGCAAGATCTGATAAATGATATCATATAGCAAACAGTAAGTCAGAAAAACTAACAGCATCAAAAACAAATAATTTTGAAATATTAAAACCCAAAATTATGCTTTAAATGAAGAAATCTGGCCAAGCATTAGAAACCAATATTTTTAACATTTCTAACAAAAACCATGTAAACTGTGGATTTTTTTCCACATTCCTTTTAATTGTCTCCTTCAGATTATAAATCAGAGGTGGGTAAAAATAACAATTTAGATACATCTTTCTACAATAGCAGAATTTGCCAGTTGGGGTGGATGATAAGAAATGGGTTTCTCATTCATATATATGCAATATAAGACTTTGAAAATTACAGTTTTAAACACTGAAAGTTGGCAAAGTATTAAAAACAAATAAGCCTAACATATACTACATTTTTTACTTCCAAAATTCCTCATAATTTGTACATTCTGGGATATCCAAATGGACAAATTAAAAGGAACATGAAAAAGAATTCTGCACTTCATACAACTTTTATCAGAAATGTTAAGCACATGAATACAAAAAGTTAGCTAAGCAACTAATTATTTATTATTCTAGTATCATACAATGCACATTTTTTGTCACTTATAAGTTTGGTTTATTAAATAAAAAAATATTTTGTGTTTGTGATTATCTCTACTTATTGTTCTACTATGCAAGTGGTAGTAAAAGTCTTGGGAAAATCCAAATAGTAAATAGCTGAAAGGGTTTCTTAGAATTATTTGGATGAAGAGCAGTCAATGATAGCCATTTAATACAGATCAATTTCAGTATTCTCAAGCTTTTCTATAATTTTTTTAAATTTATCCTCCATCTATAATATATCTATATAAATTCTATCACTTTAAACCAAACAATCCAAAAACATGTATCACTAGACCTGAAGAACAAAAACACTAAAAAAAACAAACCATTGACAATGATATGGAGAAATCCACCAGTAGCTTCCACTCCTACTTGAGTGTTGGTCAGTGTAGCCTGATAGTGTCCACTGTCTGCGACCTTACTAGATAGAATGACTAGAGAGTTATTAGAGGTAGTGAAATACCTCTTCCCTTGGAGTCGACCCTGGCCAACTCTCTGCCATGTGACAGTTGGTGGAGGTACACTGTCCACTTCAGGAGGAGATAGCACTACTGACTGACCTTTTTCCACTGTGACAGTTAAGTTTTCCTTCAGAATATCTGATATCATGTCTGCAGATGAAATAATATACTTCGTTAAAATTTTATCTTATAAATTGGGTGAAAAATAGAATTCTACAGTACTATACGATATAAACTGTCTATAAATGATGAATATCATTTTTCTACTAGCTTAAGAAACAATGTATCTAAAATATCATGATCATTGTCAACTTTCCATATATCTTGACTTGAATAATAGATATATAGTCAATGTTCAATATAACCTGTTTTTAGTACTGTTGATGTTCAGTTTATAATATTAAATGTCTGAAATATGTATATACTCAGTTTTAAAATAAAATTTGTAGATGATTTTATGTAGGTTCAGCTTACAACGAAACATGTCTGTAATACACACATGGGTATTCAGGTTACGGTGAAACATGTCTGTAATACACACATGGGTATTCAGGTTATGGTGAAACATGTCTGTAATACACACATGGGTATTCAACTTGTGATGAAACATGTTTGTAATACACATGTGGGTATTCAGGTTATGGTGAAACATGTCTGTAATACACACGTGGGTATTCACCTTGTGATGAAACATATCTGTAATACACATGTGGGTATTCAATTTGTGATGACAAGGCAAGTTTTGGCTACATTAACATGCATATAAAAGTACACAGGATGATTTCTAAGAATCTCAGCTGCATCACGAATTTCAAAAGTGCCCTACTGAGTAGTCATTACGGCATGTTACTGGTGGTAGAATATGTAAAATGCAAAAATCTGCTTACACACAAATAATTTCTTAAATGTCAAACAGAAAAAGTTCTCCTTGAAGAAAACAATCATAGTTAAAACTAAAACAGTGACTGTTATTTTATGGTGACATTATTGTTTACACTAATGTTTTATGAAATAATATACCAAAATGTGCTGTAAATCTGTATTTACGCGATGAAAAACTGTGGCAGGAGCAGCAAACAGGTATTTGCATCAAAAGGTCAGAATTTGTTCACGTTGGTAGAAAAATACTTTGAAATGTTTACCAAGCTTATAACTAGATTTGTAATTTGAAGTTCCTAAAAGTTTGCAATGGAAACTATATTTAATGGTTTCCCCTATTGGAACACTGCCAATTTTAATGATTCATTACAAAAACATCATACCTCAGGTATGTGGATACACAGGAATTTCACATACCAGTAAAATACTACATGGTTGTTGAGCTTCAGCTTAAAGTGCAAATTGTGTGTAACATCACATAGGTGTCTTGCTTATGATGCTGTCTGTGATGCTACATGAATATCCAGCCTATAGTGCCAACTGTCTGAAACACTGTGTGTGTGTGGGTTCATTTTACAGTGCCAGCTGTACATAACACTATGTTGGTATGCAGCTTATGGTGCCGTCTGTTCAGCTTGGTGCAAGCATATGGGTGTCCAACTTATAGTACAAAATTTCTGTAATAAAAAGTGATACCCACCATACAGTAGAATTTTTCTTACACATTTAGTCTGATTTTACTAATGTAATGCTTGCTATTCTAAACTTATATGTTCTATAATTAAAGGCTATTTATAAATGTCAGTACAAGTAGAAGCAATGAATTCTAATGATGGTTAAATAATAATAAAAAACTCTTCATATATTATTTGAAAGAGCTTCACCCTAGAGAAATAACTTTTTTTTCAATAATAGCTATACCAATTTTTATTACTATAAATTAGATTCAGAATTTGTAACTTATAAGTAACCTGTTTGTATAGTTATGCCATATTGTACCCATTTGCCACTTTTGTGATTTTAGGAATAGCTATCTGTATTGTGTTTTTATAACAAAATTTGATTATATAAATTGTACTTAAGCTTAAACAAATGTACTTTTGATTTGGTGCAGACAGAATAGCTGATTGTGAAATGGAAATGCTCAACGTCCTTGCCATGATTCTAATGTTTCTCAAATTTAAGTAAAACTTTGATAAGAAACCTGTGTGAAACATAAGTGTATTTTTAGTACGTAGATGTAGCAATCCTAACTACATCCAAACCTGAATGTGTAAACAGCTAATGTACATGCTGTTTTATAAACTGGAAATTTTTAATTACCTGTGTAACTGAAAAGTGAAATAAATCAAAGCAATTTATTCATGCATAATTTAATAATGGCTTTTCAAGTGATAAAATAAGGTTGATAAAGTTTTTAAGTTGTACTACATATACGTACGAGGTATACAAGTGAAAATATCAATTTTAGTATTTTAATTTTTTTTACTGTACATACTTTGTTTCATCTACATTAGATTTGGACAATGTCTGAATATATAGTATAAGGTGCACATAGCATCAACTTGCACAGGTAGTGTTTATAATGGGAAAAAGAACAATGTTAGAAAACTCATGCTAACTATATCCCATAATGCACAATAATCATATCTATTTTTATCAATTCAATCTTATAACATTTGATCCAAAGTCCTTCTTATATTATTTTAGAAATATAAGGCGTAAGGTCTGTCTCCAATGATAAATATATAGCTCTTAATAGTGTTTCCTATTTAAATGAAAATATTGTATTAAATATTTTATATATGGTTTATTCAAAAATTATTTTAACACAGAAAAACTTCATTAAAAATATAAGTATGAAAACACTTATGTAGATATCTTTGCTTTTGTGGTGTTGTATCCTAATTCATGTTTCTTTCATCCCAATATTGATTTTGTATCAACACTAAGTTTAGCTCATTTGTAAGCTAAGCCTTTATATCTCACTAGACAAACTCTCCACTGTGTCTATCATTCATGTTTGATGGGTTTAATTTTCTTTGTCACCTACTTTTTTTTACATCTTGAAATATTGCATAGTCAACTACAGTTGCATCGAACAAAAGATTACTAACACATCCAAGAAAATCAGTTATTTCCTTGATAAGTCCACATCAGTTACAGATATAAGTAGACAGCTAATCTAATCAATTCGCTAATCAAACAGTTTAAAATATTTAATTCTTGTCAAAAAATATATCAGTACACATTGTCTTACCATGTTAACAGAAAAAGTCCTTAGAAATTGAAATGGGGGGGATCATCCCATATGGTATTGCAAACAAACGAACCGTTTCTTAGTTTGAACTGCACCAATATATATGAATATTATACTGATCATTATGACCTTTGAATCTGGTCACTGCCACAATGAGATAACATGCTGAATTAAGTTCCTTCTCTTGACAATGTGGATTGACTAAGTAAGTAGCAATGTGGGTTGGAGCAGTAACTTATTACTCTTGGATACTGTCAGTAGTTTTCCTCAACTTTGCTGAGTGAAATATTTTTGCTTGCTCATGTAAGTCTTTTGTGTGGTGAGATGTTCTTGCTTGGCATCAGATAATGAGATCAGAATGGTAGCTGAGAAAGATGTTGTTATTATTATTATCATTATGGGAGATTTTAATTTCAGGGGTATTGATTGGGAAAATTTTGAGTCTGACAGTGAGGGAAATAGGTTTTGGAAATTGTTCAGGATAATTTTATACACCAACTAGTGATGGAACCTACAAGAGAGGAAGCTATTAGATTTAATATTTGCATCTGATATGAAAATGATGGTGGTTGGCGAGCATTTACGTACAAGCAACCATTGCACTATTAGGTTTGGGATTTTAGTACCCTGATTTCAAATTTCAGGGAAGCCAATTTTGATGGAATGAGATGTAATCTCGCCTCTGTAGGTTGGACTACAGAGTTGGGAGGGGGATCTTGAACAGATGTGGGAAACATTTAGGGAAAAATCAATAAGCATACATATTCCTACAGAAAAAAATGGGCAACGGAGCAGAATATACCAGTATGGTTTATTAAAGGTTTAAGAAATCATATTAGGGATATACATAATAAATTAAAGAAACTTAAATTTGTTGGAAATAATATGGACTTGGAGGACTATAGGAAATCAAGAGAGCTCTTTAAAAAGGAAGTTAAAAGGGCAAAAACTGTATATGAAGGAGGGTTGGCTGAGAGAGTTAAATCAAATAATAAGGAATTCTTTAGGTATATGATGGATAAACAAAATGTTAGAATGGGGATTGGGCCTTTTAAAAATGATAGTGGGAGCTTATCTCAGAAGGTTATGAGATGGTAAACTTATTAAATTATATGTTCTCTTCAGTTTTTATGAAGGAAAATACAAGTATTATGCCTCAACCAGAGCACTTAATGTATTTGGAAAATATTGATGTAAAACATATCATTTTAAGTTCTGAAATTGGGAAGTTGGGAAACCTAAGAATTGATAAATCCCCTGGACCAGACAACTTTTAAAGGAACTTAAATATTATATTTGTGAACCTCTAGCTAATACTTTTTATAGGTCATCGAGTAGTGGAAGAGTACTAGAAGATTGGAAGTTGGTTAATGTTAGCCCAATATTTAAAGGAGGTAATAAAAATTGTCCAAGTAATTATAGGCCAGTTACTCTTACATCAGTAGTTGGAAATATTTTGGAAAGTGTGATTAAAGATGCACTGCAGAGTCACTTAAAGCAGTTTGATATAGCAAAGAGCTAGCATGGTTTCATTAAAGGAAAGACTTGTTTAACAAATCTTCTGACATTCTTTGAGGATGTTACTGCAAAAGTTGATGAATGAAATACTGTGGATTTGGCTTATCTTGATTTTCAGAGAGCATTTGATAAAGTGCCTCACAAAAGACTTGTTACAAAAAGTAAATCTGTGGGTGTGGGAGAAACGTTATTAAATTGAACAGAAACTTGACTGGAGAGTAGAAAGCAGAGAGTAGTAATAAATGGAGTTAGATCTAACTGGATCACAGTTACAAGCAGTGTGCCTCAGGGCTCTGTGCTTGGTCCTCTGCTGTTTGTGATTTATGTTAATGATATTGACTCTGGAATGACTAACAAAATTTTGAAGTTTGCAGATGACATTACAATTTTTGGGGTGGCTAACTGTATCAAAGATGCTGCAGACTTAGAGAGAGAGAGAGATTTAGATCATTTGATGCATTGGGCCAGTATGTGGCAGATGATGTTTAACTATCCAAAATGTAAGGTGATGCATATAAGTTTTCACAATTCAAATTACTGTTACAATTTAATTGGGAATACATTAAATACTGTGGTTGAATAAAAAGATCATGGTATTGTGATAAAAAAATCACTTAAGTCATCAAAATAGTGTATTGAAGCTAGCAAAAGGGCTAATAGGATTTTGGGTAGCATCTATAGAAATAATGAATACAAGACAAGGAATATCATTGTTTCACTTCATAGATCACTTGTAAGACTTCATTTATAGTACTGTGTACAGTTTAGGGCTCCATTCCTCAAGAAGGATATTGAATTGTTTGAGAAGGTTTAGAGAAGAGCCACTAGGGTGTTATCTGGGATGGTGGGATTGTCCTATGAGAAGAGACTAAAATCTCTAAACTTGTCTACTCTGGAGAGGAGACGGGTCAGAGGGGATTTTATTGAGGTGTTTAAGATTATTAAGAGTAATGATAATTGGATCCAAACTTTTTGTGTTTAACAGTGAAAACAATAGGACAAGGGGTCATAAATTCAAATTTTGGCAGATTAGGAGTTGTCTGCAATTTATACAGTACTACTTTTCAAACAGGGTGGTTGGCTTTTGGAATGAGCTGGCTTCAAGGTTGGTGTAAGCAGTTCCAGAAAATATTGGATGAATACATGAGTAGTTAGGGGTGGTTATAGTTAGGAGCTGAAAGGGACATCCTTGATGGGCTAATAAGCTCCTTTTTGTCTCTTTAAATAAAATTTTATAAATTTAGGAATGCAGCTGTGTCTGCTTCTATTCTTTCAACTGACTGAGACATGTGCTGAAAGAACTGATATATTTTGAGTTTTACATTCCAAACACATCACATAGGATATTAGTATAGATCTTCCTAGGACAGCAACCACAAACTGCATCTTTTACATCAGCTGACTGTAGAACCTTCATACAAATTTGAAAGTCTTTTAGGTACTTAAATGATAAGTCCAGTCCATGGAGTTCCAGAATAGCTAACACTTAAAAACAGCTGTTAGCATTTGGTTGTTTTTAAAGAACTTGACAATTTCCTTGCCCTTGCACAGATGTATTGACAATGTTTTTAACCTTTTCATGTTAACAATGAGGTGCACACCCATAGCACTGGAGATGTAGATATTCATTATCAATGTCCCAAGAAGCCTTATTACATTTGATGGTCTTTTAGTAATAATTTTTTAATATTGAACTTGTATGTAATTACTAGTGTGTAGAGATTCATCATTACTGGTGAATGAATAAAAGACTGGCTTTGAAGTGATTACCATAAAATTTATTGCTCTTTTATGCAAGTATTAATTCAGATATTAGATATCACAGACACACAATGGGTTCTCCTGATTAAGACACTGATCTTTTGGTAAAGACCTGTAATTTCAGCATTAAAATGCTTTCCCACCACCTGCTTACAACTAGGAAGTTTATAGATTGAGCACAATTTGTAAAAGAAGTTCTGTACATAAGGGCTATTAATAATGTTAACAGGTGTTTCTTACATAAGCAGAAGTAATGTGCAATAGAGCTCACTCATCTGGTCAGACACCTAACTATCCATTAAAATAAATTTGATTAAAGTTTCTGGCACTTGGTGACTTACTTGTAGCATATTCCTTATAGATAGAAAAGGGTGGCTGCAAGTAAAAATCCAGGTTGGCTCACAAAGGGTATAAAGAATAAAATTAAATAAAAGCATCACAAATTTAAGAAATTTAACTTGAGTGCTTTGGTGTGGAGATAAGTTAGCTAATTAGATAGAAGAGTGGCTGGATAGAAGAAAGCAGAGGATTGTTATAAATGGAGTTTGGTCAAAATGGATTAATGCCACAAGTAGGGTACCTAAGGGCTCAGTCTTAGGACCTTTGCTTTTTCTGTTTTACATCAATGACATAAGTGAAGAAATTGTCCATAAATTTATTAAATTTGCAGATGATATTAAGGTATTTGGTGTTGCTAGCTGTGAGGAGGATGCTGATGCTTTACAAGGGGATTTAGAGTTGGGTAAAAAAATGGCAGATGGGTTTTAATTATAATAAATGCAAGATAATGGATGTTGGTTATCATAACTTGAATTATAAGTATAATTTGAATGGGAATAACCTTAACAGTGTTATAAAAGAAAGGGATTATTGTGTAGTGGTTGATCAGCCTCTTAAGCCATCCAAGTAGTGTGCTGTTGCTTGTGGTAGGGCAAATAGAATCTCAGGTTGTATCTACAGAAATATTGAATACAAGTCTAAAAAGGTTATAGTTTCATTATATAGGTCACTGGTTAGGCCACATTTGTAGTATTGTGTTCAGTCTTGGGCTCCTTACTTTACGAAGGACTTTTAATTGTTGGAAAGGGTTCAGAGGAGGGCTACTAGAATGATGCCTGGGATGGAGGGTTTGTTATACAAGGAGTGGTTAAGATCTCTGAAATTGTTTTTTCTAGAAAAAAGAAGAGTTAGAGAGGATCTGATTAAGGCATTTAAGATTGTTAAGGGAATTGATAAGTGTTGATGAATCATCGTTTTCATACTTAATGATGAGAATGGTAGGTCTAGAGGACATAAATATAAATTTTGGCAGGGTACGAGTCATCTTCAGCTAAGAAAGTTTTATTTTTTTAATATGGTGGCTGGCCTTTGGATGTTGTGGAGGCAATAAATTTAAATGAGTATCAAAGAAAGCTTGATAATTATATGAATAATATGGCTTGGCTTTGAATTTTTCTCTTGTTTTATACATATATACATTAGTTTTAGTTTACTTTAGAGGATGGGATGGCCTAGATGGACCAATAAATCCCGTGTTATCCCTAAACATCATTGTAATTGGTCAATTTGATGCCTGATGCTTCTTTTGAATTCTCTCTTTTCACAAATAGATATGTAAGAGAAAAAAAGTTTAATAAGTATGTTTTATCATACAGTCAATAAGTGTAATATATTCTAATGAAGGGTACTTATACTTTGTCAACAAGAAAACTATTAAAACTAACTCAAAACAAATTATTTTGATTTTTGAACAACACACAACTTTATTACCTTATACCAGAAACAAAATGGCAGTACAAAATTTGCACTAATTTCACTGTTAAAAAACACAAAACATCACTAAAATTCATCACCTTCACTGAGAGTAACATTGATTTTTTAATTTTTATTTTCCAATAAAAGAAACTTTCATCTCGTTTTTCTAGACAATTCTATTTCTATGCATAACCACCAGTTTCTCGCACTGCAACAATGTTGTAAAATAACCTTAATATTTCAACCAACAAGCAAACAGTTCCAGAGAAATCAAACCAATGAAAATTATATTCTCTTTCTCTCTCTCTGCAAGTAGATATGTATGTATGTATATAAATATACACTCACACACACACACACTTATACACTCCAGAACTTTCTCAACTCATGTGAAATACCAACTTGTAGAAGTAGCAAGAACTGAATATAGTTATGAGTTTTCCATGTATATTACCAAAAATTGCCTAAGGTTACATACAAATTAACACTTTATTCACTTAATCTATTACAATATGCAGAAGAGTATAATTGTAAAATATATATATATTATACCGAACACAATTTTAATTAGTAGTAGTTTTTCTGACAGGCTAACAATTACAACTAATCTGAACTTTTGTGTGTTATTTTAGTATCTTTATTAATTTTAAGCACTTTTAGGTCTGGACAAACAATATTCAATAACATACATCCTCTCAGTACTTACATGCTACAGTCAGGGATGTTTTCTCACTGAAAACTGCACCTGCTGCATTTCTAGCAACACAGTGGTAATCTCCACTATCTTTCTTAGTGACTGGGGCAAGTCGAAGGAGTGGGTCACTGGAGAAATCTCCTAATGGGATACCATTTTTGGTCCATCGGTAGTCTGGTGGAGGAATCCCAACAGCTTGGCACTGCAGAATCTTCCCCTGACCAGCAGCAACAATACCTCCAGCAAAAGATGGCTGGACAACAAAATGTGGTGCTGACTGTTGATCTGTCACATTAAAGAGAAAGAAATTACCATCACCTAAAGTATTCTCTACATATCACTGCACAATATTTATTAAAAGGCATTGACTTTATTTGAAGCATCTTCCAATCTTCTGAAAAACAATTAACAAAGTTAACATATATCTGGCAACATTTTGCTACCTGAAAGAGTTATGTTAGTTATTTGTTGCACTAGCATTTTATTGATGAAATAAATAATACAGCGTATATGAATGCATACTTATTTTAAACACAAGCTTTGAGCATTTTAAAAAATAGCAGGAAGTTATGGCTAATAGAATTTCCTGATCAGTGGTCACAATTCATAATTTATTAGGTCGTCAAGAAATTAATGTTATGTTTTGAAACACTTTCATTAACCCCTCCCCCCCAAAAAAAACGTACATCACGTATATAAGTTAAAGGAACCACCTAAACATCATGTTAATATAGCCTATATAATGTGTACAGTTTAGTATACTCTAATCCCTAGACAAAAGCCACTTCTGACCCCAAAACCTAGACTCCATCCACAGAAAATGATGCTTTGCATTTGGTGGGACATCAGAGGAGTAATTCATTTTGAACTCCTCAATCCACAGCAAACTGTCAATGCAGAAATCTACAGTCAGCAACTGGAACATTTAAATCAAGCCCTTCATCAGAAACACCCTTCACTCACCAATTGGAAAGGTGTTCTTCTCCACAACAATGCACATCCACAAATGGCACATTTGATGCAACACAAGATTATGGAGTTGGGTTGGGAAGTTCTCCAAATATGGCACCATCAGATTACCATCTTTTTATGGGAAAACATATGCAAATGTGGAAGGTGTTAAAAAGGACATTGACATGTTTTTTGCTTCAAAGTCAAGTGATTTCTTTAATCAGGGTATTAACAACCTGATTGTAAGATGAAAAAGCATCATCAATAACAATGGAGACTATTTCATTTAACAAATGTTTTGTTTTGATATACAAGTTGTTCAGGTTTTTTCATCTATAAAAAAGTGACATTAATTTCTTGATGACCCAATAGTACCACCCCATGGAGACACCAGCAAGGCTTAAATTTACAGTGCATTGGTAAAGCGGATAAAATTTCAAGACACGAGGTTTATTTTATAGATATTAGGTAAGATTAGATTATTTGTTAAAATTCTGTAATTAATTATGTAACTATAAATAACTTTTATAATTTTTACTATGGGGTGGAAGTGGGAGGGGGCGGGTAGATAAAGCAAGTACCATAGCTACCTATATTATGATTCAAGTAAACCGTGTATTGAGCAGTAATAATAAATGAATTCTTGAGGAACACATTTACTTTTTTCTAATATATATTACTACTTTAACTTTATACTATATTTTTTTTTAACAAGTGTACTACACTTTCAAGGACGTGCATGATATAGCCAGACAAAATATTTTGTAAAATGACTTTTTTTAACCTTCTGTATTTTAACCTGTTAAATTTTCTGTATTCAACTGATATTTCTTTTACAAACTGTACAAATTGCATCAACACATTGTCTTAAAATCATGTCAAATTAAAATGTCTGATGAAAATTTGGAAATAATGGCTAGAGGAATGGAGTAAAAAAAGGCAGGATAAGGGTGAAATATGTGAATGTTACAGCATTTTGTAGCTTAATTAAACAAATTTAAAGCATTGTAGCTATTGATTAACTGACAGGCCTTTATTATCATATATAGTTTAGTATAACATGAAGTCGCACAAATCTTTTAAATGTAGTGGTACAACAGGAGGAGTTTTCTTGAAACAGCTTAGTTGCAATTTTAAGATAATTTGGATTCAAGAAGACTGGAGCACCAGAAGTTCCATTTGAATTCCTTTAAGTTTGAAGTTTAGAATCAGATCAGAACATTAGATTTCATCTGCAATATTTTGTATAGATTGTTCTTTTCTACCACACTCATCAGTATTCAAATTCAAAAACACTTAAGCATAAGATGGTTTCAGGAAAGTACAATCTACTACGTGGTGGCATAAGTTATCCAATCCATTTAAAACAGTACTTAATATTTTTTTTTAATATATACATATTTTCATACAGCTAGTGAATAAAATCATTTTGCTACCAACTTTTTAGGCAGATATTAAATTTTCACTACTGCCTTTGAAAGTTAACTTCTACCCCTGGTTACAGCATATAAAGAACATAAATTTACATATTTTTAGGCTATAATTTAATACGTTATTGCAATGTTAATGTATGAAATGCAGAAACTACAACAAAATTCAGTATGATCTTACAGTATTTAATTTTTGCATGAAACAGAAAAATATTCAAAAATTGCAAGTACAAACCTTAACACCTACTTTTGAAACTAGATTCAAGCAAATAATGAATCCTAGGGATATCCAAATAAGATAAAAGTTGTAAAGAAATTTTGATTTTTAAGTATTTTACATATACATGTAACTATACACCGAGATACTTTAACAAAAGATACTGCTATCAACTCGAACTAAAACACCCTAACTTTACAGATGTGCTGTAAATAGAGCATCTGCTACCAACTTACTTAATGTGCAATTTTTTCATATTCTAACTTGAACCATAATACAAGAAATAACAGACATTCTAATATCAATAAATAATTGTGCAAAGATTGATCAGTTGATGATGATGACAAAACCTTGTCGAAACGTACATTTGCTGTTATGTTAAACTTATATTAAAGTTTTTCTTCATTACCCATTCAAGCCGTCTCCAGCCATTATTAGTCTAGATAAAGATATTTCCCACTATTATCTCTTATATATCCCTTTGCTGGAAGAAAAAAAGAACTACAAAAATTTACAAAGAGGACTGATACATTATTTCTTAAAAAGAACAAAACTAGTCTCTTAACAATAACACCAATTCAAAAAGAGCTTCTAACAGCATTATCTTCAATCCTCCTCTTTATTGTAAACAAATTAGCATAGCATCATGCACTCTAGCAGAAACTCTTAAAAAAACCTTTATCTTACAATGAATATCTTAAGAAAATGTTTAAAAACAATTCATCCTCTAATACACAAGCCTTCTCAAACTAAAAAACCTGTTTAAAATAATAGTAAACTTATAAATTGCACAGGTAACAATGAACACCCCCCACATATCTCTAACATTATTAAACTTTCAGAACTCAGTCTTCTTAGTAAAGATCTGAAATTCTGCTCAAACAATAACTTCGTTAATGAACCCCAAATTCTTTCTGACCATCATGTATTCTCAAGAAAACTAAGACTTTACGAAGACTACCCTACTGAAAATCAACATACACTGAACTTCAAAGAAAAACCTTCATAGACATTACCACCAAACAGAGAACCACAGAGAAAATCATATTAAAGCAGTAGAAAATGACATAATACAAACCTTTAAATTTTCCAAGTAATGTCATAATAATCTTAACGAAAATGAAAGAACTGCTCTTAAATCGAACAAAAATATCATAATAAAGCCACCAGACAAGGGTGGGGCTATTGTTATTTTTAACAAAGATGAATATATTGTTGAAGCTAACCAACAACTACGGGACACTAATTCCTACAAGAAACTTGCACGATCCTCTGACCAAAAGTACACAAACCAAACAATCTTGGCTGACCCATAATTTCTAACAAACATAGCTACTGAAAAGCTATCCTCTTTTGTTAACCAACACACATGTATTTCCTGTACTCTTCCTTCTTACATAAAGGATACTACTCACTTTCTTAACAGACAGTTACCACCTAATAGTCTTCTTTGCACAATGGATGTTTCTTCCATTTACACTAATATTCCATACGATAAAGGACTAGAAGCTCGAAAGTTTGCTTTAACCCTTTCAAACCCATCAAAATCCCAAACAGTAACTGATCTTGTCAGCCTTGTTTTAACTCTGAACAACTTTGAGTTCAATAACAAACATTACCTTCAGATTGACAGTACCACAATGGGTACCAAAATGGTTCCCAATTATGCCAATATTTTTATGGGTCATATTGAAAAACCATCTTTTATAACTAAGCCCTGTAAGACCTCATACATGGAATCATGTATTCATCTCATATTCAAACCCCTTTCACAAAACAATTGAGTTTACCTTTAATTACTCTCTTACCCAAATTAACTTTCTTGACATCACTATCTCTTTAAAGGATAGAATTTTACACACCAACTTGTAGAAAAAACCTACAGACAGGCTACAGTACCTTCCCTATAAAAGTTGTCACCCCACTCAAACTAAACAGAACATTACCTGCAGTCAAGCTATTAGAATAAAGAAAATCTGTTTAGATTACAGAAAATACACCAAGGATCTAAGACAAACCATGTTACAATGAGGATTTAAAGATACTGAAATTGACAGACAGATAGAAAAAGCTAACAACATTCAGCGAGAAAACATCCTAAAACAGAGTAATACTAAAGTTTCAAATAGAATTCCTCTTGTTATTCCCTATCACTTTAAACTCAGAAAGGTTTCACTCATTCTGAAAAAACTTTTTCATCTTTTACAATTGATTGATCACCTAAAACAGATATTTCATAAAATTCCTGTTGTTTCCTTCCAGAAAAAGAGAAATCTAAAAAATACCCTTGTTCACACAAAAGTGAATTACATCTCACTAAAGAGTGGTTGTCATCCATGTAATAAAGCTCATTGTCAAAGCTGCAAATTCATAAAAATTACTGACTTTTTCTGACAAGCACAACCAGAGAAACTTTAAAATTCCTAAAGAAATCACTTGTGGAACACAGAATACTATTTACCTTATACAGTGTAAAAAATACAACCACCAGTATGTAGGACATACTCAAACAACTCTTATAGAATGTTTCAACAAACATAAATCTTCTATTAACACCAAAAAAAAAAAAATACTCCCTGTTGCTCAACATTTCAACCAACTTGGTCATTCTATCAATGATGTTACTCTTTGCATTATGCATTATTTGAGAAATAAGGTGAATAAAATGGCAGATGACTTAATTATAA